GCCCAGGGCAGGGGTTGGGGCTGGAACTATGAAACCACACAAGGACATGAGGAATCTGTCACAGCAATCCCACAGACACCTGAGCCAGGAACTGTTCCTCACTGTAGGTACCTACAAACAGGTACAAACAGAATTCAACACCTGTGCTAGGGCAGCATGTGGTTAAACTTTACAAGTGGAGTAGGAATCCTGACCACGAGACTGGCCCAGCTTCCAGGTCAAATGGAGAACTTGCCACCATGGCAAGCACAAAGGAAAAGATAAAACCATTTCCTGCCACATCACAATCCAAGTCTACCAAAAAAAGCTGTCCCAGACCAGGTGTGGTACAACAGGTCACTATCTGATTTTCACAGCATCTTTGGGAACTTTCTGTTGATCAATGAGAAACAAGTGAAAAGCAGTGCCCCTCACCCCACTGTATAGAGTGTGATGAGAGTGATCTCCACTCTGCCTTTTAGCTTGGGGGCACAAAGAAAAAGTGACATCTAGGGTGCAACAAGAATGTTCTTTCCCATGACAACATTTACCTGGTACCAACTGCTTGTCCAGGATAATGAACACTCTTGAACACGAGGGCAAAAGCTCCTTCCTGGAAGAAAAGAAACACAAACTGTTTAGCCCTTCATCTGGGCCCTGGGCACCACTTCAGTGTTGCCAGTCCAGAAGCTGCTCCTGTGTTGCCATGAAAAATAAGAGACAACAAACAGATGGTTCCACAGATGTCTTCAGAACCACCTGGAGCTCCAGCCCCTCAACCTGGAAGGATTTCCTCCCCTGAGCAGAGCATCCTCAACTGCTGAGTGAGTTTTCTAACTCTCAAACAGACACTCCACTCAGACATCCTTGGCTACCCACCCAAGAGCTCCAAGTGCAGTGAGGGGATCCACAGAGACAAAGATCTGGTCAAAGCAGCACCAAAGCCACAGAATGTCCATCTGAGCCATCACAACCTGCCAGCAACACATGCTCTTCACCTGTTGCTGCAACAGCTGCTGCCACATACATTGCTAAGAACTGTCCTGAATGAGCTGCTTGAAATGAGATAAAGGCTGATGGATCCTGCTCTGTGCCCAGCCAGGCAGGACCTGACACGTGGAAGCACAAGCTCCATGCCAGAGCTCCCACAAGAGCTCAGCAGCTCTCCCAGATGGAGCTTTTGGGAGGACTGGAAGCACAGATTTGCTGTCCCTGGGACCAGCTCCAGCCCTGCACACTCCCCTTTTGACTCTGCCCTAAAAATACAGGTTTTCTTCCTCAATTCTAACGAGAGACTGAACCCTGAGCCACACACACTGCTCCCTGTTGATACAATCCCTGCACAAACGGCGACATAAGGTCTGCTCCTCCCTGCCCCAGCATTACCAGCTGCTGGATGACTCTCTCCACCAGGGTGGTGAAGCTGATGTCGTCGCTGTCGCGGTTGTCGTACATGTACTTGACCAGTTTGGCGATGCTCTCCGTGTCTGTCTCCGACTCGAAGTCGTAGCCCTTGCTCTCCTGCAGCAACAGCAGTGTCAGGGGACAGCCCTCTGCCTTCCCTCCCACCTCCTTTTCCAACCCTTTCCCTCCTCCCTTTCCCTTCCTTTCTCTTGCCTTTCCTTCTTGCTTTTCCTTTTGATTTCTCCCTTTCCTTTCTGCTGCCTTTAAATTTTCCTCATGCCTTTCCTTTGCTTCTGCCTTCCACCCCACCTTTCCTTCTCCTTCCCTTTCTCCTGCCCTTCCTTTTTCTTTCCTGCCTTTCCTTCTTTCTCTGCTCTTACCCTTCCATATTGCAGTTCTTCCTTTTTCCTTCCTCTTTTCTCCATCCTTCCTCTTCCCTTTTCTTTCCTGCTCTTCCTTTTTCCTTGCTCTTTTCTCCATCCTTCCTTTCCTCTTCCCTTTTCTTTCCTTTCCTTCCTTTTTCCTTGCTCTTTCCTCCATCCTCCCTTTCCACTTCCCTTTTCTTTCCTGCCCTCCCTTTTTCCTGCCTCTTTTCTCCATCCTTCCTTTCCTCTTCCCTTTCCTTTCCTGCCCTTCCCTTTTCCTTCCTCTTCTCTCCATCCTCCCTTTCCACTTCCCTTTTCTTTCCTGCCCTCCCTTTTTCCTGCCTCTTTTCTCCATCCTTCCTTTCCTCTTCCCTTTCCTTTCCTGCCCTTCCCTTTTCCTTCCTCTTCTCTCCATCCTCCCTTTCCACTTCCCTTTTCTTTCCTGCCCTCCCTTTTTCCTGCCTCTTTTCTCCATCCTTCCTTTCCTCTTCCCTTTTCTTTCCTGCCCTTCCCTTTTCCTGCTTCTTTTCTCCATCCTTCCTTCCCTCTTCTCTTTCCTGCCCTTCCCTTTTCCTTCTTTCTCTCCTCTCTTCACACTTCCCTTCTATCCCTCTTTCCTGCCTTTCAATTTGCAATTTGAGGGGAGGGACAGGGCAGTGAGTCAGGGCATGAGTGGAGGAGTGTGAGCATGAGTGGAGTGGAGGAGCAGGATGGGGAGTGTGATGGATGAGCACGAGTGGGGACAGGGAAGAACTGAGTGGAATAATGAGGAGGTTGGGAGTGGGGGAGTGTGAACAGAGTGGGAGAATGTGAGTGGGAGAGAGTTGGGGTGGGAGGAATGGAGGGAGTTTGAGTAGGGAAGAATGAGTGGGATTATCTGAGTGGGGGAGAGTAAATGGAGGAGAGAGTGAACAGGAGTGGGGGAATGAGTGTGAGAATGCAAGGTGGAGAGTGAGTGGAGGAATGGGATGAGTGGGGACTGTGAGGGTGAGAATACAGGTGTGGGAGTGAGCAGGGAAGTGTGTGAGAGCAGAGGGGAGTGGGAAAGGGAGGGAGTGTCACAGACCCCAGGGGTCACTCACCAGGAATTTCCGCAGGTCCTTGTAGTTGGTGATGATGCCATTGTGGATGACGATGAACTCTGGGACAGAGCAGAGACCCCACTGAGCCCCAGCCCTGGCCTGGCAGCAGAGCCTGTGGCCACACACCCAACCCCAGAGCCCACAGAACACTGAGGTGGGAAAGGTGCTTGGCAAAATAGAACAGGTTTCACCTCCTGGTGTGATTCCCTGCTCTGGGAACAGCAGAGGGTAACAGTTACCCGAGTGGGACCAGAGCTACAGAGATCCTGCAAAGCCTCTGGAGCCACTTCAGTCCCTGGCAGCTTCCACCCTGCTGGAAGCAATGAACCACCACACTGCCCATGCCAGCTGGGCACTGCTGCTCCCTGGGCAGCTATACCCAGCAGGAACCACACTGAGCACACCGACCCCTTCCCCAGGGCAGTGATTGGGGCAAGCAGGAATAAATGGGTTAGAAAAGCACAGACAAACTTCCATTCCAAAGAACAGTCACGAAAAGTCACCATCTGATCTCCTTCTGCCTTTGCCTCTGTGCCCATGCACATCCCCCAACCTTTGGGCACCAACCTCCAGGGATCACTCACTGCTGAGAACACATCCCAGGGCCAGAAACTGAGCCCAAGCCCTCTGGGCTCAGCAGCAAGGCCTGAGTGAGGCCACTGGCTGGGCCACACCACCCTCCTGGACACAGCAGGCAGCAGGAGGCTGTCCCAGAGGCTCCAGGCTGAGCAGCACTCACCGTTGTTCTTATCAGAGCGCTGGGGGTGGCTGTTGATGGGGTTGGGCTCGCCGTGCGTGGCCCAGCGAGTGTGGGCAATGCCAAGGTGCACATCAAACTCAATGTCCAGGTCCATGTCCTGTTGCTCTGCAGCCAAAGTAGAAGGTTTTAGTCCTGAGAGGTTGGTCCCTACCCCAAAGTCAAGGTGGGAAGTCTCACCAGGGAGTACAGTGATGACAGGGAAATAGAAGCAGCAAACTCAACAGGACATTGAGGTGTTCCAGGGGATCAACAATAGAAAAACAACTCTGAAGAGAACAGGCAGAGGGAGATACATACTGTGAACTTCTTCATCCAGAGCCTTCACTTTCCCCTTCTGCTTGATAATATGGATTTTGCAAGCATTAGCCTCCCAGTCTTTGTCATTTCCTCCATCGAGTCCCACACCTAAACACCACCATGAAACATGAAGAGTGTGAAGTGCAGAAGTCCATGACACTATTTTATGCAAACCAATACTGCTTTTCCACCCCCAGTGCCTTCTCCCACAGTTCAACCTCCACACAAAAGCAAGAAACCCCTTAGATTCCAATCAAATTTCCCTTTGTCATCTTGTTGGTATTTTTAAAAACCTTAGGGAAATCTGGATCAAAAGTTAACCTAAACCCCTGATCACATCCAGTTTGGGTTTCGGACAGTAAACATTCACAATCCCTTCATGAAAATCAGCATTTTCAAGGCAAAATTCAAAGAAAAGCCACTGCTGCTTAGGAAAAGGTACCTGCAGAGTCATAGCCTCTGTACTCCAAGCGTTGGAGCCCTTTGATAAGAGTCTCCAGGATCTCCCGTCTCGTCCGGGGCACATGGTAGTTCAGGTAAGCAAAGATACCTGTGTGGAGAAAAGAGAACACCCTTAGCCAAAGTCTCAGCTGAGCAAGCTCTGTGTGTGCCACCAAAGTGCACCAAATGAACACTCAAACCAGTTTTCAGGCCAAGAACTCTCTCCGAAAGAGATCGTCGTGTTTTCAGCCCCACCTGAAGCACAACGGAGATGTCACTGCCATTTAGAGGACAAAACTCCCCAAAAAACACATCATCCTTCTCTCCTGACACTGCAAGCAAATGGTCAGGACAAGCCTGGGAGTGTTGGGGAAGGAATTTCCCTGTGAGCTGTGAAGGGCCAGGAAACTCATCCCTGCAGGTGGAAAAGTCAAGGTTCACTAGCACAGAGCCTTGCAGGCCAAAACCTCATCTTCTACAGGAACTCTGCCTTGAATAGCTTTCTCCAAGTTCCTCCCACAGGCTCACAAGGAAAAAAGTCATTTCACTCATGCACACCAACACCCTCAAACTAATGGAGCTCTTTTTCCTGTAGGTTGCAGAGGAAGATGAATTGTTGCTTCTATTTTCAAGCAGCAGGAGACACACAAATTCCTCCATCTCCAACGCCAACTCTGGTTCCAGCTCTGAACAATTTCCCTTGGTGCCACCACAAAGCAGTAGGATGAGAAGACATTTACTGGGTGCTGGAAATAGCCATACTTGAAACTTACTGTTTCCACCCTGTAACATCTGAAAGGGGAAAAAAAAATCTGCGTGGAGTAAAAGCAAGAGGAGTTTCACACAAACATCCATCTGTAACTGACTGGGAATTCCAGGTCTGTAACTTGAGAAATTTTATCAAAAGCCCTGGAGGAGAAAGGATTTCAGTCACACACAAACACACAAGCCCAAAGTCTCTTTAAAGGCATCCCAAGTCTTTGGTGTTTTCCTGATGGTGCTGCCTTCATCTCCTCAAACCTCCTGCAAGATACCAGGCCCAAGTCTATAAAAACCCACAGTTTTGCATCATTCCCAACATCCCAAACCAACAGGGCACACAGGCAACTGTCCAAGCTGGATCCAGGAACTCATGGACAGGGTGAGTTCCTCCTCCACAAACCTCCCAACCCAGTTCAAAGCTCAGCAGATACAAACCCTGAGAGCAGCAAACAGCTCTGCCATGTTCCAAAGGCCTCTGAAAGATGCTTCCCCCACACTCTCCATCTCCAAAACCTCATCCCCACCCTCCTGGCAAAGAAAAGAGCTTTCCAATTTGAGCAACTTGGATCAGTGTGTTTCTAAAAACTGCATTCTTCAGGCAAACAGCTCCTCCCTGTCTACAAGTGAGCTGGCTCACCCAGGCTGCAGGATCAGGGGAGAGTCAGATCAGATGTTAGGGAAAGTTTGGCACTGGGAGGGTGTTCAGGCACTGGGATATTGCCCAGGGAGGTGGTGGTGGAGTTACCATCCCTGGAGGTGTCTAAGAAGCATCTGGATCTGCCACTGGAGGATGTGGTTTAGGGGTTCCAGCAGTGGCAGGTTAAGGGTTGGACTTGATGATCTAAGAGTTCTCCTCCAACCTTGGTGATGCTGAGTGCACCATAAAGCAGAGCCAAGTGGTCTTTCAAGAGGTAGTTAGGCTCCAGCAGCCCCTGACATTCCCCAGTCACCCCCCAGGACATCACCCACAGCACAGCAACTCCAGGAGGCATAATTAACACCAAGAGGAAGAGTTATGGACCCAGGAATTCTGCTTCCCTTTCCCTAAACCAGCTAAACCATCTGTGATGCTGAGTGCACCATAAAGCAGAGCCAAGTGGTCTTTCAAGAGGTAGTTAGGCTCCAGCAGCCCCTGACATTCCCCAGTCACCCCCCAGGACATCACCCACAGCACAGCAACTCCAGGAGGCATAATTAACACCAAGAGGAAGAGTTATGGACCCAGGAATTCTGCTTCCCTTTCCCTAAACCAGCTAAACCATCTGACTAGAAACCTCTCTGTGTTTTTTTTCAGGGGGATGCCCACACTGAGGGTCCATTCCTCCCAGTCCCTGCAGCCTCACACTCAGTTTAGTGGTGCTCAGCCCATCCTACAGCTCTCCAGGAGCACCAACAACCTCTGCACCCTTTCAGCAGCATTTCAGCTCTATGGCACAGCCAGTCCCACTCAGGCACAGCTGCCTGGGAAGCTATTCCAGGATAGACACCAGTGGGATAAGCTCTTTGGAGCAAACAGGGACTGATGGGCAGAGCTGAGCTGCCCTGGGGTTTGGACATCGTCTCGCTGTGGCCAGTCTGGCTCCTGGAAATCCTTCCCCATGAACAGCAGCAGTGTGAGAGACACAAGAGCCTCATTGATGGAGCACAGAGGAGGTTTCTTCCCTGGCAGGACATCACTGAGAGCCACTGCAGGGCAGAACAGAGCAGGCAAAGGGTGAAACAGCCCCAGGAAACTTTGGGGAAGGAACTGTAGGATATGTATGAGCACATGCCAAGAAAGGAGAAGAAAAGACAACTGTAGGTTGTCACACACCATAGATAGGCACAGCAATTGGGCAGAAACTCATTTTCTTTCATAAAATATCGTTTCTAATTGTGATTTGATCACTTTAGTCCCCATCCCACTGCTGACACATGGATTGCAACTTACTCTGAACCAAAACAAGGCATCAGAGCAGAACCATCTCCCTCCAGGCAGAGCTGACTCTGGACACTTAGCCAACCCAAACCTGACAGTGGCTTTGAGAAGTTGTTTCCTCTGCACATTTTACTAAGCTCAGTCACACCTCAGCTAAAAAAAAAAAAAGCCCAACCAACAGCCCCAAACCTGACTCCTTGCCATGGATTCCTGCAGCAAGGGATGGCTCGTCTGGAACGAGGAAAAAAAACAGTGTTTACTCCTTCCTGCACTGCAAACAAACACAGAACATCCATCTAGAAAGGAGCCAACTTGGCATTTGTCTCAGGCACTGAAAACATCTATTAATTACAGCACATGAGGCCTGTGAAAAAAATCCAAATCTAAGGCTATGAATTCCACACACCAAAAAAAGCCAAACTCCCCCAAAACTAATCAAAGGATTCAGTGCTTATCAGAAAACCCAGAGGCTGGGAAAAGCAAGGAAAGCAGAGGAAATGCAGTGGACACACTCCTCAAAAAAAAAAAAAAAAAAAAGCCTCTACAAACATCAGGAAATTCAGTTTTGCCTCAGTTCAGCTTTCAGATCCTGAGGGGAAAAATAGCTGAGTGATAATGGAGATGCCATTGGGAAAATCAAATTCCATGAACTCACCTGTGAGCAACAGATTTTACAAAAGAGAAGGCAAGTAAGACAAGGAGGTTTGAAACTTCCCTTAGAGAAAACAGGAAAAAAAGGAAACAAAAAGAGAATATGCAAAAACTGATGCATAATAAAAGTAAGAAACAGGACAATAAGGCTACTGTAAAAGAGCTGAGTCTTCTGAAATGTGTGGCTTACTAGTCTGGAAGCTAAAATCCACTATCTGAAGGCTTATCACCCATTTATGACACTTCTGGTGAGGAATGATGTGTAAATAAGCTTCACTTACTGGAAATATTTACCAACGCATTTCATTTTCCCCCTCTGCAAACATCCTCAGTGACATGAGTCTCCACAGCTAGGGAAAGTCTGAATCCACATTTGGAAACCAACATTTTTCCTGTCTCTGCTATGGGATTATTCTGGAGGATCACACCAGAAATGATTACAATCACTTCCATTTCCAAGCACAGTCCCACTGCCCTGGACAGAAATATTGGTAAGGAAGAAACACCCAAAGTGCTTGTTAGACTTCACTGATCTGAGAGAGTTCTTGAAAAATTCTTCTTTCTCCCAGCAGCTCTGCAGAGAGAGATTTGCTCTGCAGAGAGAGGTCAAGTCTTGTGTCCCAGCTGGGACACTGTGCAGTCAGTTCCACCATGGGCAAAGGGTGCAGAGGTGATAAACACAAGCAGCACAACAAACAGGTCCCAGTGTGGCACAGAGGGGACACACAGCCCTTTTACCCTCCAGGAAAAAAAAAACCCTTTTTTGACTCCAAAGCTGAACAAAGGGTCACTTCATCCAGCTCCAAACACAGCACACCCAACTCCACCTCACAGTCTGGGCTAGAAAGGACCTTTTTCCACACACTACAGATGTGTTTTTCTCTGAGGCTGCTCAAGCCTTGTTCTCTCCCTCCCTGTGCCTGGATTCAAATCAATCAACACAACTCAGGAGATGAAAAGACATCAACTGCACAGATCTTTACAGCTGCTCCAAGGCTTCGCCAGGAGCTCCGTGGTGGGAGAGCCAATTCCTCTCTCAAAGTGACAGCTCAACTCAATCACAGCTCTCAAGGGAACATGCTTTGGGTGGAATTCCAAGGCAAATCCACACAGTTCCATCAGGGTCCCATCTGGTGCACTTAGCCCTCCTTGCCAGGCTGGTTGTTGGAAACCCAAGGAGAAGATTCCCAAAACCAACCCACCCACCCAGAATTGCAGTTCCTCAGCAAGACCCAAAAGCCAAAGTTTGGTTCCAGCACACACAAGTGCTTTTCAGTAACAACACCACACCTGCCCTCTGTAACACATCATGGAATAAGCAGCAGGAGGAAGAATTCCAGAAAACCAGGATGTACAGATGACACCTGATGGCTGTACCTTGACAAGGCCTGAGCTGGCATTGCTGGAGGTGCAATGTGTGAAACCAAAGCCCAACCCTGTGAGCTTCCTTCCAGCCCAGCACCTGGTTATCATGGGGAATTTCTGGCTAAAAAAAAATAAAGAAGAGAGCAGCAAGGATACTACAGAAATTTCCATCTGACAGGCTCTGAAAACACTACAGCCCTGTGTGGAATACACTACCACAGCCTGACACCAATACACTTTGGAATTAGCACAGCAGTCACACTTTACAACAGAATAAAACATCTCAACTTCACAGAACATTTCAGCTACTAACCTGACACAGGACTTTGCAGGTGAGGACTGAAAGACTGGTTCAAAGCATGGCAGCTGATCAGCCAGGCCCTGGATCATGCCAAGATCCACTGCAGTGAGAA